AGTCTAGGGTTTGTGGGGTGGCCGGAAAGTTTGTTTTGCCGGCGACGAGTTGCCGGAGATCTGGATGTGGGTATTTGTCGGACATGATTTGTGTGTGTGTGGCGATGGATGGAAGAGTAATGGGATTTCGATTTATGACGAGAAAAATAGAGAGAGGGAGTGGAAATCAGGTGAAGAGAAAAAGGGGTCCATAGTGGAAGCTCGTTGGAGAAAATATGAGGCGTTTAGGCTAGGGAGACAGGATCCGAGTCTTCCGCAACTTAATTTCATTAGAGAGAAAAGGGCTTTCGAATGTACTCACCCAATCATGATCCACCACGTGTACAAGTATTACACCAACAAGATAATCTCACCTCATGCCCTTACTGTACCTTTTCACCCAAATATCATCAAACACCAGTGAAATCTAGGTCAGTGTCACAGTTGCTGCCTCAAATAATTTGAATAATACTTTTTATTTTTTAAGTGTTTATTGTTTAGGAAGTTGCACTGTGGCTGGACAAAGTTTCCTAATGATTAAGAAAAAAAAATGATCCACGGTATACAAGAGATGACAATTATCTCAGTTGATATGAGGTCTTTTGAATGGAATTACAAGAAAAGTCGTGAAGGTTATATCCGAAGCGGACAATATTATACCATTGTTGAGATACTTGAAATACAAGAGTATCGTTATCCTTAACACCTACGACCAATAATATAAATAGAAATTTGAATGTTTTTTTACCACTAACGGGTGGTAGTGTAGTGGGTTTGTGGTCAAATAGGGATATCCTTTTTCAATTCGAATCACACAACGTCGGTTACAGTATTGGATGGTCGTCGACGCCTTTCAATTATAGGAATCTAACTCACAAAGTCATACGACATCGATTTGAATTATAAAGAAAGATATTATTGAAAAGAAAAAGAAATACATATCTCTATTTTTGCATCTCTCTTTTCTATTGGTAAGATATTTAATGTAGTTGATAGCAAATAGGTTATAACGGATAAGCATTGAAATATTTTTTTAAATAATTTCTCAAATGGGTAATCTCCTTTCGTCCTACCTTTTGTTATAATGAAAATTGTATATATATTGTTGGAGAAAAATACAGTTTTACTTGTAAACCGTCCCATACAAAATGGATGGAATTAGAAAAATTATATGATACTCAAATTTTTTTCTACAACTTGTGAGTTAAATGGGGGATTTATTTCATTGTCAACCTTATATATGTTAAAAGAGTGTGTATTCGAGAAATTTGGAAAAAGAGAATTAAGTATAATTTATTTTTCATAATTACCGTCCAACTAATATGTTAAAAGTCAATTTAAAGTTATTTTAATCTTTTCTAAAATCGATTTTTTAATTTGTCAAACATGATCAATGAAAAGATGAGTGATTTTGACAATGACAAAATGTGATTTGGCCATACCAAAATCACTCCTTAAATACAATTAGTTTTATACAAGGCTTGAAATTTAATGAGTTTTAACTAAGGTATTTTACCATACTTTGCATCAAAATTAGTGGATGGATTAAGTGGCAGTTAAAAGGTAATGGTAAAACTTGTATAATTTTAAGTTCCATCCCCATCGCCGTATGTGTGCAGAACTAAAATTTTAATGAGATGTTTATATAGATAGCATGAATTGAAGGTGTGTTTTTAAATATATCATAAAGCAAAAATAGCATAGTCCAAATCAAAGTTAAACTCAAATTAAATATAATATAAAACACACTAAAATACATATTAAATTTATGCTATTTGTATTGTAATTGGGTAAATTTAATTATGAAATTATGGTATCTATATGTTTTAAGCATTGTCATCATTACCAACCTAAGTATATATAACTTAACTGGTTAAAGCATACACGATCAAAAGGTCGTGGGTTCGAATTCTCTACCGCATATTTATTAAAGAAAAATTGCGCTCATCAAATTTTTTATATTTTAAAAATGTCAAATTATACCTTTATTTATCAACTTGAGCTTAATTCAACGAGTTATGGCACCTATCTCCAAACCTCCCATGTTGTTTTAAAAAATATATATACTTTTATATAATAATCATATTGTTAAGGTTACTAATTACATACCATTAAATAAAATTCTGTAGTGTTATGTAGAACATATCTTCAATCAAAAGATTGAGTTCGAATCTACACTCTAATATCTAAAAATTGAAACATGAAAAAGAAACACATTAATTAAAAGAAAATTATATGTATATAAATAATGCATTGAAAATGGTAAGTTTGGCTTCTAATAAAAGATCAACAACTCATTTGACTTTAAACTGTTGTGGTAAGTGGTACCGTGCTAACCAAGACCATGTCCCCCAGTACACCACTAAAGCCTGTAATTTGCAAAACTTCTTACCCAGAGGATAATTCAGAAGTTGTCTGGGAGCTGGCTTTTACCTCCCAACAACATATTTAATACATCATTTTTTTATGATAAATTTAGTAACAGTATATTTCTTTTTCTTCTCTTTTTTCCCTATTTAATCGAATTTAAGTCCAAAATTTAATAGGTTGTAAACTTAATTCAAGCAATCTCTTAGAAAATGATGATTTCAAATATAAATTTATTGATGATCCAATATTCCAATTATAAGCAAAATTTTATTTTTAAAATATTCGGAAAAATCCTAAAAAGTAAGTCTATGCTTTAATGCTGGTTGAGTTGATATGAGTACTCTTCCATCTACGTTTTTTTATGGCTCTACTTTTCGAGTATGAATGGTATAATTTTAGATAATGTTATTTGAAGTATAATTAGATTTGAGCTAGGATATAATTTAGAATTAGATTTCTTATTTGATTTACAATTAGGGGTTGGATTAGTGTAAATATGTTATTAAGTTTATATTTAGAGCTAGCATCAATGACATTCTATTGGTTGTTTTCTCTATATTTTCAAAATATTTATTTTGGTCTCTATACTTTAATAAAATGATCATTTTAGTCCATATTTTAAAATTTTTAACACAAATTATACCCATAATGAAAACTCTTTAATATAAAGTCATGACTACGTTTAATAAATATTATTGATAGTGTTGTATTGAAATTGTAATAGAAAAATAACATTAAAAATTAAATTAAATGACTAAGAATGTAACTTTTTTAAAATATAGGAACTAGAACCAACATTTTAAGTACGATGATCAAAATAAAAATGAATCAAAAGTAAATTCAAATTAAATACTAACTTTTCGTTGCTCTCACCCTTGTTTGGAAGTCGCATCAAAATTGATTGATAAAATTAAAAATGATTAAGACGTGTTTTGATTATTATGATATATTAACTAGTAGACTAATTGTTGTTGATAAGTCAAAATATTTTATTTTGTTGGTCTAAAATTAAATACTTCTTTTTTTCTCTCTTTTTAACAACTCTTTTTTTTTCTTTAGATGGCAAAGGGGGGGTTGGATTCAATTAATAATCACTCTTCTTTTTTATGTCAATGTCACCGTTACCTCATTGAGGCCAATACGGAAAAGTGTGGCTTATCAAATATGGAACTGTTTTTTATTAAAAGACGAATTAAAACAAATCTTTTCTATTGGATGATTATTAATACATCAATATGACGACATGAAACAAAATAATATGTTTCAGTAATTTTGTTAGTTAGTTAAATAAAATGCAGGGATTCGAACCTATGACATTCTACTCTAATACCATGTTAAGAATGAATAAACAATCACTCAATCCAAAAGCTTAAATTGATGCATTAGGTAAATTTAATTCATATATTGGATATCTAATAAGTTTGTTGAGCTGGCGACTTGCAAATAGAATATTACACTAATATGATGCTCGATCACATACATTTTTCAAAACTTAAGTTATTACTTAGTTTGAGATGACATTGAGTCAAGTTTAATTGAATCATACCTTTGAGAAAGTGGAATTTTGCCATTTATAGCGGAAACATAATTGGAAAACATCGCTCTATTATTACAATATTTGTATGTATGACTTGGTAAATCTTTTATCGGTTGCTAGTGGATCCAACACCTATACAAGTGACATAGTCGACTGAAGTCTGAGTCAAATTGTTTTTTTTTTTTTTTGGCATATTGACTAGTTCTTTATCGTCGTTGTCATGAACTAGTTGAGATCCAGAAACATATCTATGGTTTGATTTTCACCTCTAACCCAAGTGATTAAATTTTAAAATGTATAATTAAACAAAATAAAACAATAATTAAACTTCGTTTTACCTATTAAATTCTTTTTCCTTCGCAGAACATTTTACATATTAAACTTATACATAATAAATATAGTTTTTTATTTTTGAAAGAAGCTAAATATAGTTTTTTTTTTTTGACATATTGACTAGTTCCTTATCGTCGTTGTCATGAACCAGTTGAGATCCAGAAACATATGTATGGTTTGATTTTCACCTCTAACCCAAGTGATTAAATTTTAAAATGTATAATTAAACAAAAAAAAAACAATAACTAAACTTCGTTTTACATATTAAATTATTTTTCCTTCGCAGAACATTTTACATATTAAACTTATACGTACTAAATATAGTAATCTTTCTTATTTATAGATACATTTTTTGGTACCGTATGCCAGACGCCTCGGCTAAAGAAGAAGAGCGAGGATGCACATTACGAGAAAAAAGCGAGCACAGTGGATAATTTCTGTCGCCATCGGCAACTGGCGTTACCGGGATCCGTTTCTTTCCTCGTCACGTAAAAACAATTCAGTTGCTAGTCTTCCTGTCAGTTCTGATGACTTACCCCAGACGTTGCCCGTGACTGACCATATGCCACGTCATCCACTCGTTTATTTCACTTGCCCATTAAAAAAGAAAAGAAAAAAACAAAATTATTTTAATCTCGCGACAGTTTTTAAATGAT